ACTCCAAAATGATTCTTGCTCCGCACTTTATAATGATTTTTAAATATATATATATATATATATTCTTCACAAGCCTTTAGACATAAGATAACACAATGGCTCATTTTACCACACAAAGTAAGCACCTTTAACAGCAGGCACAATTTTCCCACTACTTCATCTCCTCCTCCTCCTTGTCCTCCTCGTCGTCCTCCTCCTCCTCTTCCTCCCACTACTACTATACTTCTAATAATCAGAGCAATAATCCAACCCCCAAAATCACAAGAAAGTTGCCACGGTGTTGAAAATGTAAAACACAAAGTGGTTGTAAATGCTTCACCTCTTTGAAAGTGCAACGTTTTGCTTTTCGGGGCTCTTAAGACAACCTTTTTAAGCCAAAGTATCAATAAATTAAGCGTTTTGTTCTCTTCCTCCTGCCAACACGTCTTATCTTATGCTGGAATATGGGTTCGATTTTGGGACATAATGCATTTAAGACTCAGAACCGGAGGCTGGCTGGTCCGGCAAAGATATTCGGTTCCCCTTCAACCCCTTTGTAATCTGTCTGATATTGCTTTTCATAGTTTTTTCAAAGGAATACTGGGTCAGTGGGAAATATGTGGTATGGAATGCAGCACACCTTGCTCTAAACTGTCTGTGAATGTTCTTGCATGCATGTGGCCCTCAAAAAAACAACAAAAAAACAACCTTCTGGGTGCCTGCTTTGGCTTATGGTCCAGACCACATGGCAACCATTCTTTCCACCCAAAAAAAGATGTGGGAAAACAGATTGGCGTGATCATAACTCACATTAGCACTGTGTAATAAACCATCCCAGGCTCCGCCCAGCCCAAAGTTTTCCACATCACCTTATGTACATCGGGCTTTACTTTACTCTGCTCATCATTTTGGTTCTGACACTCAACCGTTAGTCTGGATATTTGACTAAAGCAATCAAGTATGAAGGTCTGCTTTGCCTATAACTTCGGAATGCAAGTCACTACCATTATCACTGCAGGATAACTAGCGTTCTGTAAATGATCTAGGCTCTGAAAAGCATAAATAATCTTGCCTCTGCAGAAGCCCCTCAGGGAGAGCCTTCCCCCTTGGAGGTTTCATCATGCTTCTATTGAGACTAACATGTTCATCTTAAGAGGCTTCTTGGTATTAGCTTGACAAAACCAAATGGGATTGTTCCAAGTATACCGGTTTTCATCATTGAAATGATTGCCTCCCCGAGGGAATTTCCTGGAACAATTATGCTCATTGTACACTTGTTTATAACAGCAACACTTATTGAGAATGACATGTAGGAGCTGCATGTTAGGAATTATTATCTGTATATAATTATATAGAAAATTGAGATGCTCAAACTGTGAAAATGAACAGCCTTAAATTACAAAGGCTACTGATAACTGCCAAACTCTGGCAGTTATAAACTAATCTTCAAAAGGTAGTTTTTTGTTTCTTGAAATGCAAAGTCAGTACCTTAACTGACATGTTAGTTTTTTTATTAAATAAAATTAAGTGTTTTCTTCTGATTGAAAATATCTCCAAAACTATAAAAGACATTTTGGGATTTTAGACCTTGCAGAGCACTTATCATCATTGCCCCTCCCACCCCTAACCATTTACAGCCTTTAGAAAAATAGTGTAGTGTCATAAGAAAAGCTCAGGAATTGAATTGAAATTTATTCAAATATTGGCCTACATCCAAATCTATGATGGGAATTTAGAATGTTAGCACGGATGATAACACAGGGTTGAAAGGGAAGGCCTGCTTTATATTTTGAACATAGAACCTTAATACCCAAGACTGATAATGTAACATAATATCCAATAACCTGTGATGCTAATTTCCGATAGAGTTAAGCTATTAGGCTGAACTGCTCATCTAATGAGACAAAAGATAAATACAGCGTATAATTAAAACCGGTTTTCCCATCAAACCCGTCAATGATATCATAATTTTAATCAATAACTCCGATACCGTGTCGTGAATGTATATTACAACAAAGGATCGTGGTGCAGATAACAGAGCATGTTGGTCTATAACTGTAACTGAACTTTCATCTACACAGTCACAACTAAGCAAATCTATGCATAAAGTTTTTATTTTTCCTGTTTAGGATTTTTCTTCAGCTGACTATAATTATTCTTCATCATTTATAGGAACATTTCTGTTAAAAAGAAAAGCAGATTAATAAAACATAAGTATAGTCTCAACAATATTTCAGTAGTGTTTTTTTCTAGCTCCAACTTGTGGTTGCATCCCCTTAATCTGTGTTAACCAAATGAGTCTTAAGTAGATGTTCACTAAAACTAGAACTACATACTGTGCATTGCTAATTTTTACATTGAACTCATGGGTTTAGTTACAAAGCTAGACACCGAAGCACAAATGGACACATTTTTGCTCTGTAAATAAAAATGAAGATCAGATGGTTTGTTATATCTGATAGAAAGATAAGTAGATCCCCGGTTTGTATACCACTGATCTTGCTGCTGATTTACACTTCAAAGACCATAAGGATTTCAATGTTTCTGCCATTGGTTTCAAATTAAAGTTGAGCTTAATTGGAGAAATGAACACTACGCACACCAATGAGTTAGAGGCAGTCCTGTCTCAAAGCATGTATAGCTTAATCCCCTCTTTCATTACAAATATGTTGCATCACCATTTTCTGCTGATTGGGAGACTAAAATCAATTACAAAGTGAATGTCTTTTTGCTGCCCACAGCACTCCTTCACAGCACCCCATTTATTTGAAAGAATCCTCCCCTACCAATAACCAAGAAACAGTCCGTCGTGCCTATGCACGTATAGCTTTCCCTCTAATGTCCTCGGTGTTTCGTCTCCCTCTATACTTTCCCTCTGTCTAAATAAAGACTAAAACAGCCAAAGGTGAGCTGACTGCCCACTCTGCTGCTGAAGGTTCTCACTTCAGTGTTTTTGAGAACCTGCCAAAAGCCACTCGTATTTGCTTGTGCTGACACTGCAGCAGCTGTTTAAGTTCATTCAGTTATTACATAACTCCCCTTGCTCCCTGAAAGGTGTCGAGCGTTCTGTCTTAAAGCCATTTGTATACGATTTAGATTCCCTTGTTAAGACCGTTTTTAAAAAAAAAAAGGAAAAAGATGAATGTTTCCAATGGTTACTGCTTTCTGCCCATGGGTTCTGAGTGGTATGTATTCGTATTTTTGCAGGTCGTAGGGTCAAGTTCAAGCCCTCAAGCCAGCAGCGAGGGCCTTCACTTCAGCGACGGCAAGCGGAAAGTCGACTACGTCCTGATTTTTCACCACCGGCGGCACAGCTCCCTTCGATGTCCGATCGGCTCCGCCGTTTCGCACGACCAGCTGTCCGTGGTCTCCAACGGCAACTTCCCCTCAACGGTGAGCTCGGACGCGGCGTCGCGGCGGGAAGGCGGAATTTCGCGAAGGGAGGGACAGAACGTCGGCGAGGTGTTCGTGGAGCTGGGAAACGCAAGGGGCAGTGATCCACTGGAGCCCGCTGACCACGAGATGCACCTCATCAGACAAGAATTTGAGGCCAACCTATTGGAAGCTGGTCTGGAGATAGAAAGAGACAGCGAGGTGGGTGCTGAACAGAACGTATTTTAACTGTTTGATATTTTTTAATCGTAACAACGTGCCTGTCCAACTCTATAAAATTCCATCCATCTATTATCGTAACCGCTTATTCCCTAATGGGGTCGCGGGGGAAACTGGTGCCTATCCCAGTAATCAATGGGCGAGAGGCGGGGCACACCCCGAACAGTCCGCCAGTCCATCGCAGGGCCACACAGAGACACACAAGGACCAACAACCACGCACTCCTAAGGGCAATAAACCTAACATGCAGGTTTTTGGACAGTGGGGGGAAGCCGTAGAACCCACGCAGACACAGGGAGAACACGCAAACTCCACCCAGAAAGGTCCTGGTTCCCCCAGGGACTCCAACCCAGAATCCTTTTGCTGTTAGGCAATGGTGCCCGTCTATAAAATTGCATAGTTCAAGTAGGGTCTACCTAACCAACTATAGCTTATGTCCGGTGGTACAGGCTGGATATGGGAATACCCTTTTTGGAGCAAAGCTTTATATTCATGCAAGACATCATCAAAAGTCCCCATGGCCTGACTTGATGAATTTATGTCTGCCTTTGACCCATAGTAGGATAATTTTTGCGTTACACCTGTCCAACTTTTCTAAAAATCTATCTCTGCCCTACTGGTTTTGGTCAGGCTTCAAGGTTATGGCTTGATGGGCCCGACTTCTAAAGTATACGCATATTGATCGATGATGAATTCGGATTGCCCAACCTCGAATCAGCTCCATTGAATTGGAAGAATTAGATGAGGAATATCACTTAGATCCAAATGCAGCACGTACCCCGTAGTGTGGGGGTGAATCATCGGCGGTTTCTTCTCCGATTTTGCCCGACGTTACAAACTCTGACAACGCCTTTTAAAAATAACCCCACACATACCCGCAGATGCAGCCCGTATCCCGGAGCAACAGACAAAAACACACAACTTGGTTCACGCTGCGCCAAACCTGCGAAGCTGAGCAATGTAGGTGGTGGGTGGGGTGGGGGTGTGGGGGGGGACTCCGGCCCGATGAGTAATCATTTATCAAGAAACACCTGCAGAGAGGAAAACTTCTAACACAGAATGCTTAGTGTGCTGCTAGTAGAGATGGATACAACTGGATGTGAAACTGTTTGGCGTGGTTGGGATTATGGATGCAGCAATTGCGAAATTCTTAACTTAAACACTTAAACTCACACTGATATTAAGATGAATAGTAATATAATAAGATTTTTTGCGCTTTACGACCTCAGTTCAAATGTGACTCTCCAGGTTGCTAAATTGATTTTGTAATTAGAATTAAGTTTTTTTTTTTTACCATTCTTCATTTCTTTATAATCATTAAAACATGATTAAACTATAATGTTTTATCCTTTGAAGTTCTGAGGTTCTGGTTTTGTTTTTTGGGGTGGCTTCATCTTGAGGAAGTAGATCCGCAGCTGGTGTTCCGACCTCTTCGCGTCGATTCGCTAATTTGGCCTGAAACGGGTCATTTTGTTTCGAGAAGATCGCTCCCGCTGTCATTTTGTGTTAAGTGGCAACCGGCCCCTTCCGCATGTGGCCCTGCCCTACTTTTTTGGCCCGGCGTGTGATTTTTGTAGTCGCCAGTTGGCAGAACGCACAGTGTGCGCTCGTCGTTTCCACAGTGTGACGCGCTCGAAAGAAAAATTGTAAAAGAAAAAATGTAAAAATTAATCTAATGTCTAATGACATATTGTCACTAGAAATTTAACTGAAGATCTTTGGCTGCACAGACAGAGGAAATCCTAGTCAGATTAGCCCGTACTGTTAGCCTTTAGCATGAATACAACACCTGTGCTGCTAAATAATTGTGGGTGTGGGTGGATAAAACTCTGTGTGTGTGTGTTTGTGTGTGTGTGTGTGTGTGTGTGTGTGTTGGCTGGCAGCCAGTTGGCAGTTTGGACGGTCTGGCAAGCTGGTCTTAATCAGATTGTTGACATGGTGGCCATGGAGCCTAAACCAAGAGGAGATTAGCTGACTGACTGTTAGCGACTCGTCTTATCCCCTGGATTGAGGGCTCCATTAAATCTACAGCCAAGAGTTGGAGAGTGTTTGCATTACGGTACACTTAATTTGAAGGTGGTCGGGGTTACAAAATAGCGACACAAGCATCAAAGCTGTTGAAGATGCAGTTTTAAAAGGCATTGTTGAAGACCAGAGACAGCTTTTTCTTTTGCATATTCACTCCGTTACAATCAGCAATCGAATTTTTTGATTCCGCAGTTTGCATGCTGATTAAAGGAGAGAGTTAATGTGGTTTGGCACTAACCCGTCGTAATCATGGAAATGATGCGGCTCCAGGATGTTCTCATTAAAATAGGATGCTGCAATGATCTCTAATTTGGAATAAACAAACTTACGTCACAGGGACAGGGCATTAGGGAGTGACCTTTGGGCTTATGGTGGTTGGCTTAGTGTGTGCTCAAAGGTTTTTTACGGACACTGTGGCATTTTTTTGGGGATTAAGGTTAATCCAAAAGGTTAACACAATTTGCGTATTAAATATGTGTCAAATCTCGCTTTGAGGATTTAGAAATATTTAGCAAATGTTAATGGAACTAAGAATACAGATGGTACCAGAGGAAGAAATTCACATAATTTTTCATGAACAAAAGAATAAAAAAACAAATTTTGAAAGGTTTTAGCTGTTTTGATTCAACACACTTTGGCCATATCGGCACAGGACAGTATTATTTGCCGTAAACAATTCCTTCTGCATTTAATTTTATGCTATTGTTGCAGTCAAAATAGCAAAACTGGCATTAAAACTTGCATATTTATTCATGTTTTTCTTCCCTGGTGCACATTTTTTCGCAAATCATAGCAAAGCATAACCTGTTACATAAAAGCATCTCACCATCATTACCATATTTATTATAATTCTAACTGTTTTGATTATTATTACTTAACAGGAGCACAGTATGTTCCTGCTGGAGTTCAGCCTGTTTGAATGTCTGTTAACTGGAAAAAAAACCCAGAGTGGCTCAACTTGTTGACTGTGCCTGAGGGGTTAATGAACTGACCTGTGATCTCTTAGGAACATCGTGCTACAGATAATTTTTAATTAAATTAGAACTGCGTGTTAATTCAAGAAGTGGAGCTTAGAGTTTTGAAAAGATGAGTCTTTCGGGTATTTATAAAGTACCAGCAGATAGGGAATCACTGTCCACAGATATCTTAAGGCAGACAGACATTTCCCGTGTGATTATCAGTTTTAAATCAGTCCAAATAGTAAATAAAATACTCAATCATCTAACTGTATGCATCAATGATCATGGGTAGCTGTCGAAGGGTGCAGATGCTATGGAAATTGAATTAGAAAAATTCAAAATACCAAAATACTTAAGGAATAGCAGTTTTCTGTTGTCAAAATAGGTTCCTGAGTGTTATATTCAAAGTTGTCTTTTTTAATGGTTAACAACATTACTTAGGTAGTATTCCAGCTTCTATTCGGGAGCTTTCCCACCAAACCGCCTTGGCTGTGGTGCTTTTGCAAATCACATGAAATGATTTTGAATTTAATTCTGTTGTCATCTTCAATTTGAGTTATTCTAGCCTTCAACTTTTGATTAATCCTGAATTAAGTGCCAATATTTATTGGGAGTCTTCTCTTATGGAACATGTGGCTTTCTGGTGTGTTTTCCAAACCATATACCTCTTGGATTTTCCTTACTCGGTTTAGTGTCTAGATAGAGTTTCTGTTTGTCAACTGGACAGCTGTTGATCTGGGGTAAGAGCACCTGCCACGTATCTGTAACCAGGATAAAAGCTTTGGATAAAAGCATCTTTATAAATGGATGTAAATGTCTAAAGTGGGTTTATATACAGGTATTTCTACACAATGGCATTCATGTACCTTATTTACTGATATGTGCATTCATAGAATTTGGAAACCATCTTGTATATTTTACTGTACTTTCACCATTCCCACTTGTGACTCGTCACTTTTATCTTTTCGACCCTCACTTGGAAAATGTTGGTTACCATCAATATACAAAGTTAGTTTTGTATTTGAGAAGTATAGGGTAACGGAAATATGTACAGGCCTAATCTGCGGTTGATATTTTATTTACCCAACAAAAAAAAAGACAGCCTGGGGTAATGTTGTCATCTCGCTCTTACCACTTGGGTTGTGATACAGCTGTGAGGATTAAAAGAGGATATTGGGTTATCAAATGTCAGGAGACCTATGCCCAGTACTGTGCCCAAATGTGTCTCAATTAGATTTAGATGTTCAATTAAAAGGAAATGCTACTTTTTTGTTTTTGTGATTCACTGTTTTTTATTTAAGAACAAATTCCCAAGCTGGGAAACAGGAGCATTACAAAGTCAGTGATCAATACCCACCCACCCCACCAAAACCTTAGATACAAATCACACAAATGAAAAAAAAAATATATAAATAAATAAAAAAGGACAAAGCATGTGAACGTCTCGTTGTGCGTGATTCGCCAGCCAGTCTGTAACTCCCTCTGCAGTTCTTTCCCACATTTGTATTGTTGACACTCTTGCCCCATGGATTCTTGCAGTAGACAGTTCCATCATTATAACATCTTGGAAGTATAACAGCCATTTTCTAATAGGAATCTTGTGTGGGAGGAGCCATCTCTGTACAATTAGTTCTTTTGCTGCTGTTAGGCCTGAGAGCAAAACTTTTCGCTGTTTCTCTGTACATTCAAACTGTGAGTCGTCATTCAGTAACAGTTAACTTGGTTGTAATGGAATCTATAATTCTAATAATTAAGATAAATTAAAAGTTACCCTTTCCCAAAAAGACTTAACCTCTTTACGATCCCATACCATATGGAAATGCTACATTTTTAAGTATTACAAAGCCTATGATCGGTATTGATTATAGGACACCTGCTTTTAATGTGTATTTTTAGTTTCAACAGAACATTCTCAAAGTGAACTGGAATACATCAACTATTTCGGCTGTGAGCCAACAAAATGCTGGAACATGTGGAAAATGGCTCCAAGTTTGTAGAAGAAGTTCAAAACATTTTGTAAGCTAGACCTCTGCAGCAAGAACTGACATGACAATAATTGTTTTCAATGAAAAACGATGACTCCAAACCCTACATTGTGCCTGAAACATTATTTTGTATGCTGTCCCTATATGTTTTTTACACAACTATCCCAGCACCAAACTGACCCCCCCCCCCAAACCCCCCCCCCCCCCCCTGGCTGCGGCCTAGTTAACCCCCCTACAGAGATAAAAAAGCTAATTGGAAACCCTGCTGCTAATTAACCTTCTCCAGGCTAAAAAGGTATTTATATCCTCTGCTTTTTTTGATGAAGCGAGGAAAATGAGAGGAGGGGAGGAGGAGGAAGGGAGACGTGCGTTGATTAAACAGGTGATAGAGAACGGTGGAGATAGGTACAAAAATAAAGAAGGGGAACCAAATCAAAGAACGTTAATAATTCATTCCTCATTTCCTAATTATGTGACTTATGATTAAAGGACTGTAAGGGATCGGTCCATTTCTGGCTTGTAAGACTTCCAATGAGTTTTCTGTGATTCATGCATGGTTGAATGACAGGGTGAATTTTAGAATGAAACCTTAAATACTGTTTCCTGCTAAATGGATGGACTGTACTTTTTTTCCCCCAAACCAGCTCACAGATTTATCAAGATTTTCCTTTTTTGTTTTTTTTTATCACACTCTAAAGCTTTATATCTCTTTGTATCCACTCTAAATATGACCTAATACATAGTATACAGAGTTGACCATGCCAATCTCTAAACCGCTAATTGTATTATATATACATATGAGTCACGTCATGACCTATTCTTGTTTATTTTTTGTCATAGATAATTCTAGCTGCCCATTACTGAGGGGCTTAGGGACCACTTTAAAATAAGGTCTTTAATACCTTAAAAATGAGTTATTTTACCTGTAACTTACTGCTGTTCCTGTGGCGCTTCCACATAAAGATTACTAACTCAGTTCCATAACAAAATATATTTAGGAGCCTTAAATGGGAGACTACATTTCATTGGTGAAATAAATCTACTAATGACAGAGCTTTTACAGGTTTTACAAATGAACAAATCCAAATAAGGGGTAAGAAAGTCCTTCCATTGTCAGAGGAAAAAAAGGCCACGGTTTACTAGTTTGTTATAGCACAATTGACAAGAAACTAGTATTGGGAAACTAGTATTGGGAAAAAATCAGTTTAGGCTAATTTCCCAGCTAAAATATATTAACTATACCACAACCTTCCTGGTAAAAAGGAACCTTAATCGTTTAAATAAGTCAAAATGATAAATATCCTACAGTATGTACAGATGAGGGTGCCAGGATTGGTCATAAGAGGATTATGCACCAAATACTGCCTTTCTCAGAAAAGGCTGCAGGTTGTTTGAGGTGTCATACTACTTCTATCAATAAAGCCACAGGTGGTTAGACACACCTCAGAAAGTTATTTTTAGCCGACACAGTTTACCTACCCTATCCCAGTACACCCATCAACCAATCCTGACCCTATGGGGGTCTATTGACATGTTCAGTGGTCAGATAAGTCCAAATCCAAGTATTTTTGGGTAAAAAAAACAAATAGAAAAAGAGGAAGGTGCCAAAGAGGAAGAATACCATTCACAAATGTATAAAAGCCAGAACTTGTTCATGCCAGGTTAAGTCTTTTCACAATGGATTCGATCTGCACGACTGCTGTGTGAGTTAATCGACACAGAGTGTGTGTGTGTGTGTGTGTGTGTGCTTGTTCGTTTAGCTGGCGTGCCTGCAGTCCAGATACACCTCCTATATAGACACTTTATGAAGAGGAAAGTCAAAGAACAACAACCACAGACTGCTGAGTCTCCTAAATCTTGTATTTGGCTGCAATGATAATCTACAACAACAATGAGATTAATTAACTGAAGAGTAAACATCCTTACTTTTTTACTAAGTACAATTAAATTGGTGTGCTATGATGATATCTTTGGACTTGTGTTTGTTAAATCAACTAACTTATTACAGATTAAAATATTTGATGAATGTAGCTGGAAATGGGGTTCGCACCACCGTTTAGCTCGTGGACAATTCGTAACTCGCAGGCTTCGAGAGGGGCAAAGGTCACCAAATCCCCGTGTGGGACACGGCGCCGCGCGGATGTGAGGGAGAGGGCAGCTCTGAAACATAAGAGCGGCGAGAGTGACAGCGGGCGATTCAGCCGGCCCGTCAATCAGTCAGTGGAGCAGTGTCTGGCGGCGGCAGAAGCTACGCTAACAGACGTGAGGGCGAAGGCGGGGGGATTGAGGGTGAAAGATCTCAGGAGAGTAGGAGTCGAGAGAGGAGAAAGGGAATGGTCTCGGGTTTCCGTGGGGTTGGCCGTGCCACCTTTTCTCTTTTCATTTCGCCCCTCTTAACAGAAGCCGACGGGGGGTCTGAGGAGGCTAAGGTTACCTGGCTGTTGTCCCCTGCCGGCTGTGCTGTCTTTAATTCCTGGTTACGCTTTCACCCACTCTGCGGCCGCTGAGAGAACACACAAATGAACGTCTGTGTCTCCTGTTTTTATTATATTTATCGTCTATATTCAACCAGAAAGCCTGTTCCTGCGCTTTGATTCTGAGAATTCACTCACATACCTCTTGATACTATCTCAAACCGGTGACTATTCAATTTCGCTAATGCATCTTAATATTAGTGTTATAATTACCGTGTGGGCACAGGTCCATTATTTCTAAGCAGAGAAAAAAAAACGGGATGGGGGCTTCTTCTTACATGCAAAGTAGCATTTTTTAAACGGCTACGTAGAAATGTGTCAGGAACAGGCTGCAGCATCAAGTCTGTGACGGCCCCGGGCTTTGCTTTAGGGACCGAGGTCACATCTATCTTTCATAAATACCAGAGGAAAGTTGCTCAAACAAACTGTTTCGTCGAAATTCTTTCAGTTGGTTTCTAACAACTGTAAAGAGTGGTGGTACCTGGCCCATGTTCTGGGCACAGATCATTCTAAGGGGGTTGGGTTGCACCCCTTTACACCAAATATGAGGTTGGAGGTAGACGAAAACAGATGAAAAGCGACCATTTACTTTATATTATATAACGCGGCATGTATTTTGGTCTCTCCTCCTTAAACAAAGTCGGTGGATTTGGATTGCGACGCGGACAGATGGCCTGGTAAGCCATTTTTAAAACAGCAGGTAGTATCAGCCAAGCAATCTGTCTATTTATTTCACAAACCAAGTAAGTACGAGTGCAGAACGATCCACGAAGAGCCAGTCCTGTATGTAAACGATATCTTTCCGACTTATTTCTGTTTGTTTTTTCAGGCAAAGGCCCATGGGCCCAGCTTCATCCGTATCCACGCGCCTTGGCCTGTCCTGTGTAGAGAGGCAGAGTTTCTGAAGATTAAAGTCCCCACCAAGACGGTAGGGTATCAAGATCTCAAATCACGATTGGGACAGTCCGTACCCTCTTTTGGGGTATGTTTGTTGGCGCCTTCGAGGTAACAAACACGCTAACGGCCGGTTGTCGGTGGTTGTCTTAGAGTTACGAGCTCAAAGAAGAAAGTGGCTTCGGGTCGAGCATGAGCACGCTGTGGAGGAAGCTGAACCAGCCTTTCCAGCCCAAAGTATCTCACCAGGACCAGGGGAGCACCAAATTCCTCTCGCACTGCTTCTCCAGGGACAAGCTTCATCTGTAAGACGTGCACACATTTTTTCCCCCTCAGTTTCAAAAGGAAAATCCATGCATCCATCCACTGTATATGTTTTAATCAAGGGTCTTTGGAAGTTTACACCAAACGTTCTTGAATACCCAGTTGGGAACACAGTTGGGAATACAAAACCCGACTACAACTACACCAGGAACATGGGATGCTTTGGTTTCATTGCGATTATTAGGGCAGCTATTCACTTTTCAGACCTGTTGCGCATTTCAGTTTAAGTCTAAGACTGGACTTAGACTTAGACTCGAACTCTATCGATCCCTTGGGAAGACTCCCTCAGGAAATTAAAGGGAAGAATGGGAAGAGCAGAAGGTGCAACCCTTCCAAACGTAACAAAAGCGTCAAATTTAGCTGAAAAAGAGTTGAAATGCCTCCAGCAGGATGCTTGTATACTAGAAAAATGTGCCTACAAGTAACAAAATAGGCCAGAATGGGCCAAGAGCTTTAACCCAGGGATAATGCCTACAGTTTAAATATCTATGGCCAAATAGAAATATCCATTCCGGTTGCCGTTAGATTTTGGTTTTGACTTTTATTTGTGATTTTGTTGCCCAATCATATGTTATACCTCAATATGAATCACTTCTCCCCTGGTAGTTTTAGGGTTAGTTTTAATGATCTCTCAACAGACATACCACACAGCAGAGAAGGGTAATTGTATTTCCCTTGTATATAATCACATTTAAGAGAATTTCTATGGCACATTTTGTGTTAAAAGTTTCAATTGTATTTCCATATTCAGTCATTCATTTTTAAGAATAGAGATAAGGCTGACATCACAAAAGAATGTGGCTACAAAAGAATCTCGATGTTGACACGACTTGAATGAACAATTACCGTCCATTACGTAAGCCTAATCCTTGATTTGGTTTCTTTTAGGTATAACGTCACATCCCAAGACACATTCTTTGACAATGCCACAAGAGGCAGAATAGTAAGTATTTATCCCACTTGACTGCATTTGGTATATTTTCGCAGGATTTTATCTCTGGTCTCACGATCTTCAATATTTCACAGGTGTATGAGATCCTGAGACGGACGGTGTGCGTACGAACCTGTCAGACCATAGGTGAGGAAACACAGTGGTGCAAAGGAAAGATGCTTTCAGAACCTTGCCCTGAGTCAGTCATTAAACACACGATGTTAAAATGGCCCATTTTGGTCTAAAGAACTCCATGGAGGCAAGTTTTTAACCTGTATATATCCTCTGGAAATAATGGACCCAGTGCTTTGACAGTTCATTTCTTTTCATGAAGCTCCTTGAAGAACTAAATCCAAAATTAAAACCTAAAGATGTTTCAATACCTTTATGTTGGATTTCCAATAATGTTGATGACTTATGGGTAAAAGCTGAAGTAGAGAGAACTGACTGGGGAAGCCATCTTTTCTGACATTGAATACTGAAACATAGGCAACGCGTGGAGAGAATTGCTGTATCTGTTTTTTAATGAGGGTTAGGGTTTGGTTTGTGTAGGGCATTGACCAATACGTACCTTCAGTTGTTTTGAAGTCGTGTATGTGTGGATGTATTTGTCCTGATGTCTGGGCTGCATTACCTTTAGTTCACCAGCCAGTTGATTAAAGCACCTTTTTGAAAATGTGGAGAATAGTTTGGTCTGCAGCAGCAAACCCTAGTCCCATTCGACTTTTATTAGAAAGGGAGAGTTTCTCATTAACAGTTCCTTTAACCTCAGATACCCACAAGGGACAGCGAGCAATCAAAAGTGAAAGATTTCCTCAGAAGTAGTTTCGGGGGTTTATCGTGTGTTAGGAGGCACTGTTATCTGCCTCTCAAAAACTCTAAATATGAGGAAATAACACTTAGAAAAAAGAGATGTATTAATTTACTCCAAGTTATTTGGGATTATGATCACAGTTTACATTTATTTAGCTCTTTGGTCCCAAACAGAAATAGTCCTCCGAATGGTCGACACACATTTGATTTCTAGAATCCACCATATGTCTGGTTGGCTGGCCCCATGCTAGCAGACGGTCTCTGCCAGCGGGGACTTCTGGACCTGCAGGGAAAGAGGAGGGAACAAAAATGGAGTGGAATTTTTCTAGCTTCTCCTTTCTTTTTTTCCTTTTTCTCCGTGGAGAAGCTCTGTTAAACACACACACACACACATGCAGACACACTGTTGCTTTGCTTCCTCTCCTCTACAAGTGGGTCATGATTCCTGGGTCAGACTGAGATTGAAGCAGGTGCCGCTGGGATTTCTGGTTGAACGGGCGTGCGTGAATTCGGACACGCGTGTGCGTCTGTGCGCGCGCGTTTGTGTGTGTGTGTGTGTGTGTCCGTTGTGACATTCATTAATAGCACAGCTAATCACCGCTTCGTTCCTCTACTATTTTCAGTCGCTGATAATTATCGGACTGAGCTGTGTGTGGCGGGTCATTTCCTGTGTTTTCTGTCCATCCTGACATTCACCGGGCAGATAATTGAGTTGACCTATGAGAATTTGCGCCCATACGTGGAGTTTTAATGATTTGCGGTGGAGGGAATCGTCCCGCGAAAGACGGTTCAAACGCTCTCCTGGGGTTGCGTCATGTCTGCTCTTTTCTTTTCTTTCCCAGGCATCAGCACGTTGATAGCCAAAAGCGTGTATGACGCAGCCTTCCCTCTCCATGATGTAAGTTTAAGGCTTAAAAGTCCCACGAGAGATCCATTCATTTCAATGTTACACTGTAGAACCTGAGCGGAAGAGTCAATCTTTTAATTTACACAATTCTAAAATTGTGTGAAACGTGTTAAATATTTAAGACAGGGTTGAATTATTTATTTTTTGTGTGTTTCTTTTTTACATTCAGGATTTTTACTGCATTGGCGCAGTTGTTCAGTTTTATCAGCAAATTTCCTGCCGAGTAGTATTTTTTTTTTGTCCTCAGTTTATTGGATTGTTGGTGTTAGGTGTGTTTTAGATAGAGTGTGGTTTTATGTTTCGTTGTTTGTGTATGGGCCAGCCTTAACCTGCTCTCTCGCTGCTTAGGGTGACTATAAGGTCATCGGACACCTCGAGGAACGCAACGACAGACAGGTGCGCAAACTCATATTTCACTCCTCTTCCTTCCTCTCTTACACTTCGGCCTAGTCCTCTGTTTCCAAAATCTGCTCCTTTAAATATGCCTTACACAAACAAAACATTTCTGCAACCTGAATTCTAGATGGAGCAGATGAAAATTCTTTATCCTCCTGAGACCCGGCCCATTCATTTATGTCCATTATAGTGGACATTTTGTCCACCTGTACCCCCCCTAAGTATCTGGAGTTACCCTATCAAGCCCTATAGTGTTCTGTAGAGGACATCCTGGGCTTTCCAGTGGTGTGCCATGTGATTTTTTTTCCCTAAGAGTTCTTAGGTAAATATCCCTTTCAAGACATTTTCTTTTTATTATTTAATTATCTAAAGCCTGTTCTATTTTCCCATGCAAATCGTCCTGTTGTCCTCCACAGTGGACATGCTATGAAATTAAAATTTAAAATATTAAAAAAAAAAATTAAATTGTAATGTTCTTTTTTTAGTTCCAAATACATGGAAAATCACAACAAAAAAGAAATTTGAAGACACATTTTTTCTTTGGGTCTCAGGAGGTTATGAAAAGTTGAAAAGAACGGGGTCGTCCAATTTTTCTGATATGGTCTGAAAACTTGACTTTTTTTTTTTTTCTCTCTTTCCCGAAACTCGTGCGCCCATCTGTCTAACACAAGCGCAGAATGGGGCTTAAGTTCAGTAAACAGTAGGCCGAGCTGCTCCGAGGGCGGAAAAAGACAGGGGGGAGAAGCACGAATTAGCAAACCACCGTCAGCATTTAAATGAGAAACGCGGATTTAAAAGATTTAATATGTCCCTTCCTTCACGTTCTGGCTAACAGGATTCATGGTCCGCACCTTTTTAACATCTTGCCGCATCACGCTTGTCTTCCTCTTCTGCCGCGTTTCGCTTGTTCTGGCTTCGTCCGCCGAGGTTTCATCCGACCAATCAGAGCCTCCCTGCCCCCAGATCAGCTGTGCCTCCGAGAATGGTTTTTCCAACTTACAACAGGACAACGTACACCCACACTGACACTGAATCGTTTTTTTTTCTCCATCTCTCTGTTCCGTCAGGCTCTGTACGAAGAGTGGGCCAGATACTCGGCCTTCTACAAGTTCCAGCCCATTGATCTCGTCAGGTAACAGGACTCAATTACAATTTATTTAATAATTATAGTGTTCGCGACAAATACGTCGTGAGGCTTTTTTTTTTTCTTTGTGCGCCATTCTATTATTCAAATGACTACACGTTCACTGTCAGCTATTATATTAAAAATCCCAATTTCTCTCTTGGCCCTGATAGTCAGGAAATCCCCAGTTCCGATTCTTAGACCTCAGTAATTTCAATGTTTATTTAACATCTTGGACTAATCTCAGGGCTGGCATTTTGATATCCAGACCCTCATCGTGTCCACATGCGATTATACCCCGGCATAATACATGTTTATGTATGGTTTTATAAGCTCCTCTAAGTACATGTTAAGTGGAATAGATCGTCCAGATCATATAACTGGACTATAAGCGTTTTCACAGTACACAACCAGTTGAAAAAACAAACAGTTTCTTAAGCAATGCTCGTCCTACTATATGACTCAGTTTGTCAGAATTCAAGCTTTTGTGTTTTTGTCAAGATCATGGATCAAAACAATTACTAACAGTTTTGTTGGTTGGAAAATGTTGTGCAATTGTGTCGAGTAACGAACGCGACAGTGGTACAGCTCTATTTGTTGTGTATATGTTGTTCACTGTGTCTTCCATATTGATTTCTTTACAGTGAGACACATGACATCTGTAACCAGCTTCTTCTTCTTTTTCTATATACTGACTGCCTCTATTACTTACAGAAACCAGCTTTGGAAACTGGGCAGCATAACAGAGTATCGAATCAAGTTTTAATCCAATTAAATGGAGTGATGCAGCATTATAGTTACTTTGGAAATATGTACCCTTGTCTCAATTTTTTGGGTGGTTTTTGTTGTTGTTGTTGTTTTTGCATGTGAAAGCAGCAGATTGAGCTTTGAAAGACCCTAAATCCAATCAAGCCAAAGTAGAAATATTGTACATTCCTTTTTTCCTTTGGGAAGTTTCTAGTTTTTTTTGCAATAACCCAGTTAACAAATGTTTGATGTCTATTGATGAATATTCATTTGAATTGTCTTTTTCTGGTCAGTTGAGACCAACTTGTGTTTAATGAGTGCTTTGAAATAGTTCGAGGTTTGTCTGTTTGACACTTTTTGAGGCTCGGTATGCTAAATGAAAGTATTAAACACGATACTATTTCTGTTCTGTATTTTTCCGACTGAACGCAGCACACAACGCAGAAACTGTGTTTTTGTGACCATACTATGTCTTATGTCCCGACCTCTCCCCCCCACAGGAAGTACTTTGGGGAGAAAATCGGCCTCTACTTTGCATGGCTCGGTGTTTACACTCAGCTTCTTATACCAGCCTCCATCGTAGGCATCATTGTGTTCGGATATGGGGTGGCGACAGTGGATACTAATATACCGAGGTAGGCACAGTAAAATGAAAAAAAAAAAAGAAAATCACCATGAAAAATAACAAGATTAGTTATTACATGTTTATATATGGATACATACATTCAAAATGCTAATTTTAGTCAATTTAAGATAAAAAATGATAGTGGATTAGACGCAGAGACGTCATAAATTACTCACAAAAATGCAGTAAATTAGGATTTCTTTCCACCCCCATTGTGCTCACATGCTCTCTCTCTCTCTCTCTCTCTCTCTCTCTCTCTCTCTCTCTCTCTC